CACTGTCAAAGCAAAAGGTAAGGCTGGGCGTGGTGGCTCACACCTGTAATCCTAGCACTCTGGGAGGCTGAGGCAGGCGGATTGCTCGAGGTCAGGAGTTCAAAACCAGCCCCAGCAAGAGTGAGACCCCCGTCTCTACTATAAATAGAAAGAAATTAATTGGCCATTAATTTACATTAATTGGTCATTAATTTACTATATACATATACTAATGTATATAGAAAAAATTAGCTGGGCATGGTGGCGCATGCCTGTAGTCCCAGCTACTCGAGAGGCTGAGGCAGAAGGATCGCTTGAGCCCAGGAGTTTTGAGGTTGCTGTGAGCTAGGCTGACACTATGGCACTCACTCTAGCATACGCAACAAAGCAAGACTCTGTCTCAAAAAAAAAAAAGCAAAAGCTAAGGTAAGATGGAAGGCAAGTCTCCTGAATGCCAAGATTGTCAAAGACTAAAAGCTGCCGCTGCTTCTCTCTCAATCCCCATCCAACCCCAAACCTATTGATTTCAAGAACAGTTTATAGAGCCTTCCATATAAGTCTCTTTGATAGAATGGAAAAACTTGGGTGGGAGGAAAGTAGAGTGAGCTAAATCCACAGTAGACAGAACAAAGTGCTCATAATATCCTTGACCTTGTCCTAGTTGACATGATTATCAATGACCTGAAGACATGAATGGCAAACCAGACTTGCAGATAGAAGAAACCAATTTGCAAATAGTACAAAGTGGGAAAGTGACAGCTAATATCACTGATTACATAATCATTCCCTCGCTACCATCTCCTCTTCTGCCTAGATCAGCATTTCCCAAAATGTGTTCCACAAAACACTGATCCCTTCAAATGAGACCTGCAAAATGGTTTCCCAAGTTTAAAACATTTGAAAAACTCTATTTTCTTCCTTCTTGGTTATTACCACACCATAGGCTCTGAGAAGTCCTGTAATAAACAAACTTCTCTCCTGGTTTAACTTAATGTTTCCCATACATCTCATGAAACACTTTCACACAGTAATCATTAACTGAAAATGGCCTAAAGTTTAGGCCAAACCATGTTCAAATTTTCTATGCTAAAAAAATGATTCAATCCCCTTGAGCTACTACTGCCTCATGAGTCTTCTTAGTCCAACTACCAAACTTAAATAAAACACCACCACCAAACTTGACACTTCCTGCCTCCTGTTTCCTCATCACCCACTCACTTCTTCACCACTCAAAGTCTGGCTTCCGCGCCTGTTGCTCTCCTGAAGGTCTTCTCATGATGTGAACACCCGCACAACTAGCAGAACTAATGGCTTCTCTCTGGCTCCCCAATCCCTATGCAGGGACACACAGGAATATTCAGATTTCTGGACACTTTTCTCCCTCAGCTTCCACAACACTGCATTTTACCCATCTCTTGGACTACTGTGAGCTTCTTGGGTTCCTCTTTCTCTTTCCAACCCTTAAATTCTCAGGCCAACTCTTACTTCTCCCTTGAGTAAACTGCCCATAGTTTGAACTACTGCCCTTGCGTGGATCCACAACTCTAATGACAAGCCATTTCCTCGACTTCAGACCTATATTTCCAGCAGGCTTTCAACTTGTTCATGTTACTTTTTTCAAGAAGTACATATTCAATACACTCCAGCCAAACTCATATATTTCCCTACCAACCTTTTTCCTTTTACTATCTTCTTGATTCCTGTTAACGGGATTGCCATTTGCAGCCACTTTCTCCTCAGCATGCACGCAACACTCTGTTAGAGCACCAACCACAGTGAACTGTAACTACTTAACTCTTCATCTAGACTTGAAGCTCCATCAATCAGCTGTCCTAAAACACAGCTGAAACTCAACATACTTGGAAAAATGGATGAATCATTTCAATCAACATGATTCAAAACCTCTGAATCATGCCCAACTCATGGCTCATCCTTCAAATTCCAAGAACATATACCAAGTTCTCTTATACTTTTATAAAAGCTCTTGATTCTTTCCATGTACAAGACCATTATCCTTCATCAGACTTAAATGAAACCCCAAACCTAAACTACAACTGTCTCTTTACTGGGCAATAAGTCTCCAGTTTCCCTCTGCCTCTAAACTACCACTGCTGCCAGACCAATCTTTCTAAATGCTATTCTAACTGTATTAGTCCTTAGCTCAGACACCTTCAATGGTTTCCAGTATTTCAAGAATACAGTCCAAAACCCTTACTATGCTATCACTGCCTTTCTTCTATGTTTGGATCTTTGTTATCTTTCTATCCTTATCTGCTACTACTCCTTATGTTCCAGTCCAAGGGTCAGCACACTACAGCCAGTGGACCAAATCCAGCCTGCTGCTTGTTTTTGAAATAAAGTTTTATCAGAACACGGCCACGGTCATTCATTTATGTATTGCCTATGACTGCTTTTGAGCTACAACAGAAGAGTTGAGTAGTTGCAACAAAGATCTTATGGCCTGCAAAGCCTAGAATATTTACTATCTAGCCCTTTATAGAAAAAGTGTGCTGACCGCTGTTCCAACAGGAAACTGGCTATTCCTTGAAAATGGCCTTTGTTCCCACCTCCATTCCTTTGTTCATGCTGTTCCCATCTCTCAGAAAGACCTTCTCCTGCTTTTTTCTTAAACTGTCCACATTCTTTCAGACCAGCTCAAATGCCACCTTTTTCATGAAGACTTCCGTGATCCTGAAGCTAAAGGTGAGCCTCTCTGTGCTCACAGTGCAGTCAGTATTTGTACCTCTTCTTCACATTTATCATATTGTGCCTGATGTTATGATTACTGGTATAAATGTATTTTCTTCTATACTTCTATATTGTAAACTTCTATATTGTAGAAGTTTCTATACTTCTATATTGTAAATCATCATAGTCACTGGCATCCCCCACAGAACATAATAGCACCCTTGCTTACACTTCCTGAATGGCAATGAACCCTTACAAGCAAGCCCAAATACTGGGCTAAAACCAACAAGAAAAAATTTAGTAGGGAAGTATCTTTAAGGCTTACATGCAGGTTTTCATATTCAATTGCACAAGACTTGACAGCTGCACATATAAGAATAATCTAGAGCAGAGTTTCTCAATCCTAACACTACTGACATTTTAAGCCAGATAATTCTTTGTTGTAGGGGGGCTGTCCTATGCATTGTAAGATCTTTAACAAAGTCTTTAGCCTGGACTCACTAGATTCCAGTAGCACCTCCCCAGTGTGACAAAGTAAAATGTCTCCAGACATTGTCAAATGTCTCCTGGGGGAGCAAAATTGCCTGCAGCTGAAAACCACTACTCTAGAAATTTCCAAGTATCAGCTATAAGATGTTGCTGATAAAACATAGGTTATACAGTAATTGTAGTACAGTGTCCAGATTAAGAGATAAGAACCACATAGTATTATTCTAGGTGACTCATACTGTGAGACTCTGTTCAACTCTGGATTTTAAAAGAACTTTGGAAAACTGGAATTCCAACAATCAAAGGTGACCAGGCTGATGAGAGACTAGGGAGAATGTCATAGGAGGGATATTTAAGTAAATTGAGGTGTTTAGCCTACACAAGAGAAGATGAAGAGAAACCCATTATCTTCAAATAGCTGATGGGCTGTTCTGTGGGAAGAAGGTTACTCAGGAAGGCAGATCTGGAACCAGTGGGCAGCACCAGAAGAAAGGTATATTTTGGTTCTACACAACTAAAAGTTTTCTAACAATCAGAGCTGGCCAAAAAACATTGGGCTAAGCTGTGAAACACTGTGCTCTTACCATTCTGGAAGTGTTTAAATGGACAACAGATGAACTGATGTTAGAGATGCTGTAGAAAAATTCCTGCATGAGATGGGAAGTAGGACAAGGTAGTCTCTCTAAGGTTCTTTCTAGCTCTGAGATTCTAAGGCTAGCAAAGGAAAAGCCATATGCCATCAATAAGCCATATGCACAAGCCGTATACAATTTCAAGACCTCAATTAGAACAAAAGAGAAAAATACTTGGCTAAATAATTCACCTTACTTCTGTTTGGTGACACCTTACATTTAGTCCCTGGCACTATAACTACCAGTGACCTATTTTTTCCTAATAGATTTGTAATAGTTCCTAGACAATGGATATCACTACCTTTAAATCATAACTTTTATTCTGCTAATAATAAGCACTAGTAGGCCGGGCGCAGTGGCTCACGCCTATAATCCTAGCACTCTGGGAGGCCGAGGTGGGTGGATGGCTCAAGGTCAGGAGTTCGAAACCAGCTTGAGCAAGAGCGAGACCCCGTCTCTACTAAAAAATAGAAAGAAATTAGTTGAACAACTAAAAATATATAGAAAAAATTAGCCAGGCATGGTGGCGCATGCCTGTAATCCCAGCTACTCAGGAGGCTGAGGCAGGAGGATTGCTTGAGCCCAGAAGTTTGAGGTTGCTGTGAACTAGGCTGATGCCATGGCACTCTAGCCCAGGCACCAGAGTGAGACTCTGTCTCAAAAAAAATAAATAAATAAATAACTAGTATAATTTGTAAAATGCTTTACAGTTTTCAAAGAATCCTGATATGCATTATCTTACTCACATTAGCTAAATGATGAACATGAAAACTTATTTTAGATAACCTGCTCTCAGTTACTGCCTGTTGCCTGATTTCTTATAAAAGAAAGCTAGCTTTTATTATTCATTAATCATTCACCAAGATAATAAAGCACATTCTATAATAGCAGATGTTCATCTCCAAAACAAATCATTTATACACAACCCAGACATATTTTAGCATCAGAAACATGGATTTACTTCTGTGGAATTTCTATTTTATGTATGATTTGGGGAAGAAAATTTGAGAAATTATAATTTAGTATTCTCGAATTTCAATGTGGCTATACAAACCAAAATTTCCAGAAAGCAGTCACAACAAAACAAGAAGCAAAACTATTGTAGGCCCTAACACGAGGGACTCTTTTACTCCCCAGCTAAAACTGCCAATAAGAATTGTTTAAGGACTTGCCCCAAAACCAAACTGGGCCCTCACTCACTGCTTTACTTACTTCTTTACGTTTCGTTTCTGGACATTCCGACTGCAGAGTGAGGGTTGCACCTTCGATATTTCTTGGCATGGGCGTGGAACCAGGGTTTATTGTCAAATGAATCTGATCTGGTGAGATAATGTGTTGCACATAACCCTGGGACATTGCTTCATGATCTATTAGGTGAAACCCCTCTTCACCCCCTACTAGAAAAGGCAAGTGTTCTCCGCACTGTCCATCATCATCTTCATCCTCCAAAGTGCCAGGGTCCTGCTCAATAAGAACAGTGGTCCTATCATAAACAGTTCCAGATGAGGAAGGCACCAGTCCATTTTTATCCACAAACCTGAGCATCTTATCATCGGGGGTCAGCTCATCTTCCTCTGCCTCAAAGTAGATGATGTTGTTGTCTGGACTGTGTTCCCCCATGGTTCAATTGTGCTCAGCCCAATTGTGAGAAATGAAAAGGTAATGACCTGTCTGCAATAGAACAAAGCCAGAGTTAGAGCCCAACCACAAGACCCTGGACCTCCTCAGAAACCTCAGGGCCTATTTTCTGTCATATTTAAAGAGTAGGCCAGAGCAAATGAAAAATCATCTTCCTTAGGAATCATTTTTAATTTTAATTTTGAAACCATTAAGTCATTTTTTTTTTTTGAGACAGAGTCTCGCTTTGTTGCCCAGGCTAGAGTGAGTGCCGTGGCGTCAGCCTAGCTCACAGCAACCTCAAACTCCTGGGCTCGAGCGATCCTTCTGCCTCAGCCTCCCGAGTAGCTGGGACTACAGGCATGCGCCACCATGCCCGGCTAATTTTTTATATATATATCAGTTGGCCAATTAATTTCTTTCTATTTATAGTAGAGACGGGGTCTCGCTCTTGCTCAGGCTGGTTTTGAACTCCTGACCTTGAGCAATCCGCCCGCCTCGGCCTCCCAAGAGCTAGGATTACAGGCGTGAGCCACCACGCCTGGCCCATTAAGTCATTTTTAAGGAAAAGCAATGCCATTTTCTCAAAAGTTGAAGTAACAAGTAGCAGTTCATAAGACCTTCTAAATGTGCCTTACTGTCAAACAATTTGAAGATTGGTCAAAATACCTAAAGGGAACTAAGGAGCAAGCAGAACAGTGGCTGTTTCCAAGCTAACTTACTATAAATCTTAAAGTATGGAAACTGCACTCACATATTCCCCAAATCAGAACATGAGACAGGACATGGCCTCATGTAGTCTATGGTGGAAAGAGCAAGAGTTTGGAGGCAGTCACGTACCTACAAACCCCGGATTTGCTCTTTACCACTTGGATAACTTTTCTGTGTCTCATTTTTCTTATGTGTAAGGTAGGACTATTAATTCCTGTTCTCTCAAAGTTGTTATGAGGAATAAAAGAGATAATGTATATAAAGCACAATGTCTGAAAAACAGTAGAGGAATAAGTGTGAATTCCTTCCATCGTTCCTAGAACAGAAATTTCAGACTCTGGGTGAGGAAGCTAATCCCTAATTAGGCAAGACTAATGATGATCAATATATCTATTCATCTCCTAAAACAATAAGGTGTTGGCCAGAATCTATGCCAGTGTAGTGGGCTCTCTGTTTTGAGGGAGTGAGTCTTACTGAGTTTTGTTTCTATAGCCCATAGATTAGTACACTGACACTGACACTACAAATTCAGAAAATGTCAGCTAAATGAATGAAAGACATGACGACATACTCTCTTGAGAAGATAAGCTCTCTTGAGAAAAATATGAAATTGAAGCTCTCATGTTCTGGAATAGTGATTCTTGCTTCACCTGCAAACACAGGCTCTACAAATGTGGATTTGACAGGCAGAACAGAGAATTTTAAAATTCTCAGCACAACACTTTCAGTTTTCAGTCTGGCTTTGCACTTTATCTTTCTCTTCTGTTCTGGTTTAGAAAGTGAGCCTTTACCTAGTGGGGCAGCTAGACAGAGAGGTAGTTACCAGAGACAGGCCAAGGGACTGGATCCGGGAGGAACCGGCCCGACCCCTAGCTCTGGCTTACGCAACCCCATAGATGCACATTTCGCTGCATCTGAGAGGAGAGATAAGAGCAGCGAGAGCCCCAGTGGGCTGCCCCGGCACCATCGGCGGCAACGCGGAGACCAACTGTCCTGAACAAACAAGACCAGGAGATTTGAGGGAGGCCAACAAGGAGTGCGAAGGCAGCACCCTTGAGAGGAGCCTGGGAAAAGGAACCTGCCTGGGATAGCCTCCAACCCAGGGATACACAGAAAAAACAGAAGACAAGCTGGGGGGCTCCAAGCGGCGAAGAGGGGCAGGGTCCGGGTCTCCATGGAAACAGGGGAGGGGGGCTGGATACCCATCCCCATGGAAACGGAGGAGGGGTGGGGTCCCTATGGTGACCGGACCGAGGCCTCTACTGGGAAATGCTTCAGGAGGGAGCCTAAGTCCCGCGCCCCCGGGAAGTCCCAAGCCCAGACCAAGTCTAGTTTAGCCTTTTACCTCCGCGGCTCCCGGCAACGGCGGCAGCAGCAGCTTCTCCCCTCCCCAGCGGCACCATGATTGCCCCCACCTTCCCCGAACGTCACTTCCGCTTCCGCTTTCCGGAGGAAGGAGGGGACAGTGGCTCCGCCTCTCCCTGGCGCTTCTGGTTGGTTTAAGCGATCTGGGGGCTGAGCTCCAGCCTCCAATTGGTAATCCGGAGGAGCGGGGCGGGCACCGCGGGGACGTAGTCCGGGCGTTGAGTTAGTCCCGCGCCGGCAAGCGCTGCGGGCGTTACCGGGGGGCCCGAGTCGCCGTGTGTTCTGGCTTCACCGGACGCTAGGGAAAGGGAACGAACCCCCAATACTAATCGCAAATATCGGTAGCCTGGCTCGCGCTGGCAGCTGCAGCTTGCAACGGGAAAGACCACAGTTAGCCGTCAGAATCCCGGCTCGGACCCGCAAGGGAGCGGCTAGAAGCGTGCGACGTTCCTGGGTTTCCCCCTCCGGGCCCCAACTCACCCTCACCACCCATCAAAGTTAACATAGGTGGGGGGAGGGGTAAGAAAGGAGGATTAGACCCAAAAGGCAGAACTAAGAGTATTCCAAGCCAGCCAGAGAGGACTGCGCCGCCTCTTCCCTTCTCACATGCTTTCATAAAACGCCCAAGTTCTTTTCTCCTCACACTCCTTCCCAGGCTGGCTGTCCCAACTTTTTTCCCCTGCAGAGTATTCTTGACTTCGATGGGACTCGTGCTGGGCCAGTTAACGCCACCTACTGGCCACTCCCTTCCTTTAACTGTTCACACAGTCCTGGCCCTAACATTTTACACCGCCCAGAAGTAGTGGCATACCAGTGCCCAAGAAGTGACTGCATGTTCCTTTATTATGCTCCTGTCTTTTCTAAACGCCTGGAAGATCTATATGTTAGGTTCTCCCTGCAGGCATTGCCTGTTTTTCCCATAAACTACTTTTCTAGAATATTCAGAGTGAGACAAACCCAAAGACTAAATAAGGGGCCTAGGGGTACAGCCCATGGTTGTATCATCCACCAGACTGCCAGGCATATGTCTCTTCAACCCCTGACTAGCTGCCCCAATGCCTAGTCCACAAAGGTCCAGCTGCAGAAAGATGCCATCTTTTAAGAGATAAAAATATACACAACAACCACTGTTAAAAATACATTTATCGTTAAAATATATTACATATATGAGATAGGATGCATCATATACAGTTTGGAGGACTTGCTGGCCCAGAGAATCCCACTTGTTTTACCAGAACACCCGTTTTTTCAGTGTTTCCATTTTTTAAGCCACTGTTTTGCCTTCAGAGGCTGTGTGGCCAGCCTCAGATTATTGAGCCTTATCTGGAAAGGAAGAGGGGTAGAATTTGCATATGCATATACACATGTCCTCAGACTGAGCACTGGAAAAATCTGGGGTGGCTGTGGACTATTTATCCAGCAGTTTCCACTTGCATTCTTGCTGTCCAATTCATTGTCCTTTCAGGACTCCAAAGTCTGTTCAAATGTCTGACCATGGGGAGCTCAGCCCAGGCCAAAGGGAAGGCACTAACTATGCTCTGGAGGCAGGTTGAGTGAGTACAAGTACAGTTATTTTAAATGTTTTTAAATAAAAAAATGAATAGAGATCTGTGTTAAATAACTAAAGATAAACATTGAATGTCAGTTTCACTGTGGTTGATCTTCCCTCAAGTCTTCACAACTCATAGTAGCACTGAATGTGCTAGGCTCAGGAAACAGGCAGCTGCCATCTTCCTTCCAAGTGGCCTCACATAATCTTAAGGCATCTCTGGAGCTAGAACTGGTAGGGCTGGAAACTGGCTGCCTCAGGTAAAACAGGGGAGGAGATAAAGAGGCTCAGAGTGGGTTGCAGAGAAACTGGTGAATAAATTCTTGAGCCTTCTTCTTCTCTGTCATTTCAAGCTTTTGGTCACCAGCTGGGTTTCGAAGCAGTAAGCTGCCAAATATGCTAGCTGTGTGAAAAAAATAGAAAATAAATTAATTCAGCAAAAGAAGGTAATAAAGTCATGCATTGCTTAACAACAGGGATACGTTCTGAGAAATGTGTCACTGGGTAATTTCATCATTGTGGGAATATCATAGAGTGTACTTATGCAAACCTAAGTGGTATAGCCTACTTAACACATGTAGGCTCCATGCTATAAGCCTTTTGCTCCAAGGCTACAAACCTGCATAGCATGTTACTATACTGAATACTGTAGGCAACTGTAACACCCTAGTAATTATTTGTGCACCTAAACATATCTAAACATAGAAATGGTACAGTAACAATACTGTATTATAGTCTTTTTTTTTTTTTTGGTCAAGTGGAGCAGTGGGAGTGTATTATATAGTCTTATGGGCTGGCTCACCATCCTATATGTGGTCCATCATTGACCAAAATGTTATATGGTGCACCTGTACTTACACCTGTACTTACTTGTGTGATGTTGGGAAGGGGGAGGGGTGCTCAAAAGCAACATTTTCTGCTTTAAGAAAAACTGTTTGGCTATAAGCTTTACCCAGAACTTGTTATTTTAGTTCTACTGCAATGGACTTGGGACCCTCCTCAACCCCATTTCTCATAATGAGTCTCTCAGTTTGCAGAAATGCTTTCCATAGACACTCAGTTGCTTACCTAAAATATTCTCATCCAAATGATTTTTGGCTGAATTTTTCAGCAGCTCTTGCAAAAACGCCATCAAGTAGTTGAAGACATTTTTGTGGAATGTGGGAAGAGTAGAAATGACCTGAAAGAGGGAGAATTTGGAATTGTGTTTTTGTGCATTCAATCATTAGTCCAGTGCCTACTATAGTCCAAGAAGTGAGTATATGATCCACGTACATGAGCAAGACTGGGCACAGGAAACTTTGATGGGTTACCACTTGACCTAAGTACCAATAGAGAAGCATAGGCCAAGTGCTACATGAATTCAGAGATCAAACATCTATCTGCATGTTCTCAGAAGAATTAAGGGGAAAGATGACTTTTTTTTTTTTTTTTTTTGAGACAGAGTCTTGCTCTATTGCCCAGGCTGGAGTGAGTGCCGTGGTGTCAGCATAGCCCACAGCAACCTCAAACTCCTGGGCTCAAGCGATCCTTCTGCCTCAGCCTCCCGAGTAGCTGGGACTACAGGCATGCGCCACCATGCCCGGCTAATTTTTTCTATATATATTTTTAGTTGGCTAATTTCTATTTTTAGTATAGAGGGGGTCTCGCTCTTGCTCAGGCTGGTTTCCTACTCGTGACCTTGAGTGATCTTCCCGCCTCAGCCTCCCAGAGTGCTAGGATTACAGGAGTGAGCCACCACACCTGACTTAAAGATGACATTTTAGTTGGGTCTTCAAAATAAAACAAAATTGGACTTGTATAGGTAAAGACTAGGGTAGGTATTTAGGGAAGAAAAAATGCAAAGAAAATAGGTAAGTATAGAGAGCACATTATGAGAAGTCAATTTGGGCTGGAGCATAACTAGAAGAGTTGACCAGCTAGAATTCAAGAAGTACCCCAGCCATCTGCATAACAGAATTAGTTGGGGAATTTGTACAAAATAGATTCCAAAAGAGATTCTGATTCAGTGGATTGGGGTGAGGCTTTGGAACCTGTGTTATTGGCAAGTTTTCTCAATTATTCTGCCTAGGCCTGTTGTATTTTGCAGGACAGATCATAAAAAGTTTTTTGCAGGCCAGATCATAAAAAGTCTTGAATATATTGGCTGGGTGTGGAGGCTTATGCCTGTAACCTTAGCACTCTGGGAGGCCAAGGAGGGAGGATTGCTTGAGGCCCGGAGTTCAAGACCAGCCTGAGCAAGAGCAAGACCTCCATCTTGACAAAAAAAAAGAAAAATTAGTCGGGATGGTGGCATACGCCTATACTGAGCCCAGGAGTTTGAGACTGCAGTTAGCTATGATGACACCATTGCACTCTAGCCTGAGACAAAGTGAGAACCTGTCTAAAAAAAAAAAAGTCTTGAATTTTTGTTTAATAAAATCATTAATTAGCAATGGAGAGCCAAGTATGGTTTTTGACCAATGGTAACATGACAAGAGCTTTAGAATACACAATCTGATGGCAGCATGCAAAACAAATCAGCAGAGGGAGAGCCTGAATGCATGGCATTGAACCAAGGTGAGTGGAATGAGCATGGAAGCAAGAGGATGGGTGATAGGTTGATGGGACTGGGCATGTGGGCGATGAGGAGAGGGAGGAGTCAGAAATGATTCATGTTTCAGGGTTTAGTCACTGGAATTAAGGGTGATGCCATTAAAGGGACATGAGAAGAACAGGTTTGAGAAGGAATGCCCCCATGAATGGGATTAGTGCCCCTATAAAAGAGACTATAGAGAGTTCCCTCACCCCTTTTGCCATGTAAGGACACAGTGAGAAGACGGCCCTCTGTGAACCTGGAAGTGGGCCCTTGCCAGATTCCAAATGTTCTTGCTAAGTTTCTCAGACTCTGCATTTGAGGAACTGTGTCCACTTTGTTCACTAAAGCTAGCAACATGTGTATGCTGATGCTCAGTGCTTCCCCTCACCTGTTTGCTTGCTGTGTAGTTGCCAGAACACTCCAGGCAGTTATGGTAGGCACTGTTACAGATGACAGGCTCTGGCAGGCTCTCCAGGAAAAGCAACAAGGCTTCAGCTACAGAATGATTGCTAGCGGCTTTTGGCCCATGGTTAAGGAACCAGTGATGCTGCTGCCCATGATTAGGAAGAGGCTTGGGAGCACGCACACGCCAGAAGTGCTGCCTGCCCAGGCAGGCTCTCTGCTCAGAGCTAGGTGCCAGCCTAACATCTTGAAGGGGCCACGCTGTTTGTCAAGTGAGCCAATCCTTCCTGAGTTCCTGCTATATTAGTTGCTTAAAGTTGTAAACTCTTCTCTATGCAAACTTTAAGTAAGAAAAACATGACAGCTGAGGACACAACATCAGATCTGAAGCCTGAAAATATTCAAAATATTCTTCTTTCCTTTTTCTCATTGCTTGCTCTCTCTCTCTCTCTCTCTCTCACACACACACACACACACACACACACACACACACACACAGCTGAATGTCCAAAGGATACAGAGGTTATCAATCATCCCAGTATCCAAACAGTCCCTGATATGTTCAAATTCCAACCTCAGTCCAGGCTGCTGAAACAGATCTTCCTGCAAAAAGGAAGAAAGTTATAAAACAATTATTTTCTCAGAAAATCAGCAATGATGCCCTGACCTAGTAGAATCACCAACAAAGTGCAAGAGGGAGCAGTGTAGTGAGACCTCTGAATCACCCTGGCAGACAATCTGATTTAGGCTGAGGTGGCTAATTCATGTTGTAGGCTTTCCCAGGCATGTTTCTACAACAGGTCTTTAGGCATCTATTAATAAAAGTATGGGGAGGGCACACTGCACATGGCAAGAAGATCCAACATAAGAGAAAACTTAAAAGCAGCTATGTCCAGTCAGATGAGGTTGAAAAGAAAAGATAAAAAAAAAGGGTAGCCATGTTTTTTGCAGTGCTATGGAAGGATCAACCACACATACACACACACACAAAAAAAATCCTGAAGAAAATCTACCATGTACAAGATGGAGAAAGCTAAAGAGGCATCTCAGTGCTTTGGGCAAACAAGATTATGGCAGTAAAGGTATTTTCATTAATCTCAGCATACTTTATGTTCATTTGTTTTATAAAATGACTTAATGCCATATAACTGCATTAATAATAATACTACATGTATTACTGAAAAGTTCCTTTTTTTTTTTTTGAGACAGAGTCTCAGTCTCCTAGGCTAGAGTACAGTGGCATCATCACAGTTTACTGCAGCCTCAAATTCCTGGGCTCAGGTGTCAAAAGTTATTAATACATTTGAAAGGATCTCTACAAAGAAGGTAGACTAGTATAGTACTTAAGAATGTGACTTCTATGGCCAGATTTACTGGTTTCAAATCTCACCTCTGCCTATTTATCAGCATTGAAACCTTGACCAAGTTATTTACTTTTCTGGGTATTTGTTTCCTCATCTGAGAGCTACTGTGAAAACTAAATGAGGCAATGCTGTAAAACAC